GAGCCTCAGCAACTGGATAGGGCCAAGAAGACCAAGTGCTGGCTGCTGCTCTTTGCTCACAACAACCTCAGGCAACACTACAGTGCTGCAGCACCGTGCCCAGGTGCCCAGGAAGGCCGAGGGCATCCTGGCTTGCAGCGGAAACGGTGCAGCCAGCAGGAGCAGGGAGGTGATCATGGCCCTGTACCCTGCGCTGGGGAGGCCACACCTCAAGTGCTGGATTCTGTTCTGGGCCCCTCACTGCAAGAAAGACATGGAGGCCCTGCAGTGTGTCCGTGGAAGGGCAACGGGGCAGGAAAGGGTCTGGAACAATAGTCCCATGAGGAGGGGCTGAATGCACTGGGGTTGTGCAGTCTGGAGGAGGCTCAGGGGAGGCCTCACCGCACCGTATAACTCTGCGAAAGGAGGCTGTAGCAAGGAGGGGGTCGGCCTCTTCTCCCAGGTAGCAGCGTTGGGACGAGGGGGAACGGCCTCCAGTTGCACCAGGGGATCCCCGTTGGATCCTAGGAAGAACGTCTTTGCTGAAAGAGCGGTCGGGCACTGGCACAGCTGCATGGGGAGCTGGGGGAGTCAGCGTCCATGGAGGCGTCCCAGAACCGTGGGGATGTGGCACTGAGGGACGTGGGCAGGTGGGGGGGGGACGGTGGGACCTGGGGATCTTAGAGGTCTTTGCCAACCACAGGGACGCTGTGATTCTGTGAATCGAGTCATTTATTGTAGCGAGAGGTAATGAGCAGCAAGCAACAAAAAGTCACGGGAACAGCCGAGCGCTTGGTTGGGACACTGCTGGAGCCACAGGCCCGGCAGCACTCAGGTGGGGCCAGGAGTGAGGGGCACTCAGGTGTCGCCCAGTGCCTTCAGCAGCACCAACACGCCGGGTTCCAGCGGGGCTGCGTCCGGCACCGGGCCCCTCGCCCTGCGCTGGCTGCAAGAGCCTCCGCCCTGCTGCCTGGGTGCCTGGGTGGGGTGTGATGGCATCACAGAGGGTGGCACGGAACGGCCACTGTGACCTGCGGGGTGCAGAACAGAGCCAAGGCTGCGGGGCCCAGGCCGAGCTCAGTGCGACTTGGTGAGGTGAGCAGGGAGGAAGGGGCTGCCTGAGGCTGCCCAGGGAGGAGGGTTCCCCAGCGCTCGGGGCCGGAGCTGAGAACTCAGCCTCGTCCCGCTTCTCCCCTAGGTTGTCACGCGGAGGAGAAAGCCTGGTTTTGCTGGGACAGACACTCTGCGAGTGCTCGCCGTTTGTGCACACGATGTCCGAGGGGACTCAGGAGGCCGCCGGCTCGAGTGAGCCAGGTGAGAGCAAAGAATCCCTGCACGCAGGGCAGAAGGGTGCTGGGGGTCTGCCAGTGGCAGAGAGCGGAGGCAGGGGCACGCAGGGCCCCTCTGCTCCTTGGCCAAAGGCCCACAGTTGGCTGTAGCCGCCTGCTGGCGCCGTTGGGCCTGCATTGCCCTTTCCTCTCCATGGCCACCAGCCCTGCCCCTCAGCTGGCACGCCGGCACACAGCAGCCCCTGGGACAGCCCCCCCCAAGGTGCTCACTGCTGTTTCTCTCTCCTCTCCAGCATGCGTGCTCTGTGGCCGAGTGGATAACCAGAAATCCATCTTCGGCAGGAGATACGAGATGTATGGGATGTGTTTCCATGCATTTTGTGTGGTGAGTTCCCTCGTGCCTCCTGACACCTTCCTCCAACCAGTGCTTCCCTTCTTTCTGCATTCATAACATCGTGCTCTTTCCTCCTCTACAGGGATTTGCCAACGGTCTTTGTCAGCATGGAATAGACAATCAAAATAAAGGTCTGTTCTATGTTGAAGACCTCATTCGCACCATGAGGCAGGCAGAGCAGACGGTGAGCACCGCACCGGAACAGGGAGCTTGGTGCCAGCGGAGGCATGGCGAGCTTAGCCTGGTGCAAAGAAAGCAATCCCAGCCCTTCCAAGCAGCCCCAAGAGAAATCCCTGCTCTTGCAGACCAGCCCTGTTCAGCAGGCAGCTCTGCAGAGTGCCAGCCAGCCCTGCCCCCATCCCGTGCCCTGCACAGAGCTGCGGGGCCCGCTGCGTAGGCCCTGAGCCTGCAGCTGATGGGAAATGCTCTGCTCTTTACAGCTCTGCTTCGTCTGTGGCCAGCGCGGGGCCACCATCACCTGCGCGGAGACGGGCTGCGACCGCAGCTTCCATTTCCCCTGCGCCAACGAGGGTCAATGCGTCACCCAGCACTTTGACCGACACTGGTAAGGGCTGCCAGGCATCGCCTGCGGGCCTCCAAGCCCTGCTTCAGCACCAGCCAAAGAAGCGAGGAGCGCGCCGTGACGCCTCCCAGCAGCCTGGCAGAGCCAGAGCCAAGGCCTGGGGCTCCTTCCCGTTCCTCTGCCCTCCTGGCAGCACTTCTCACCTTGCCCGTCCCTCCCATCTTCCTCCAGGTCCTTCTGCTGGGAGCACCTCCCACAGCAGCCAGTGGAGACAGCGCCAACGCAGGACACGACCTGCATCATCTGCATGGAGCCCGTGGGGCTCTGCAGGTCGTACAGCACCATGGTGTGCCCTGCCTGCCAACACGCCTGGTTCCACCGCGCCTGCATCCAGGTAGGAGCTCTCCCCTCGCCCAGCAGGCAGGCAGGCGCTCAGCAGCACCAGGCCTGGCTCACGCTCACACTGCTTGTGTTTCTGCTGCAGGGAATGGCCAAGAGCGCTGGGCTGCGCTGCTTCCAGTGCCCTCTCTGCCGAGACAGAGAGGTGTTCATTCAGGAAATGATCAACCTGGGCATCCACATCCCAGCCAGGTGGGTGGCCTTCAGCCAGCTCTCGAGACATGAGGGCACAAGAGCTGTGCCTGCCCAAGGACTGCCCCAGCAGGCCTGGCCCTTCAATGCGGGGGTGGCTTTGCTCAGTCTTAGTCTACAGGCACTGGGAGCTCATCACATTCCCTCCTTTCTCTGGCAGAAAACCAAAGTGGGAGAACAACCGTGCCTACGCATCCCTGGGAGTTAGGCACCGGCGCTGCGATGCCAGCGACTGCCGTTACCCAGGCGGCAGGGAGCGAGAAGAGCGAGAGGGGTGAGTTCCCTCAGCAGCCCTCTGGGGCTCGGCGTGGGATCGCAGCCTCACCACGGGCTGGGAGAGCACACACTGGGCACCAGAGCCGTGCCGGCGCTCCCTGGCTCAGCTCACTTTGTCCTCACGGCCACAACCCGCTGTTTTCCACAGGCCCTGGCAGCTGCTCCTCTGCAGCTCCTGCGCTGCACAAGGCACCCATCGACTCTGCTCCAACCTGAGTCACAGCGCAACAAGCTGGGAGTGCAACACCTGTGCTGGAGAGGGCATCGGTAAGAGGCAAACGGCCGCGTGCTGCTGGGCTGGGGCCAGGAGAGGCCTTGCTCAAGTCCCTTTGGCCCAGGAGGGATGAGAGCCTGTCCCACCCCGGGGCTGGACATCTGTCCCGCTCACCTTCCTGCCTCCCCTTACAGCCTCCAGCACCAATGCGGACAGCGCTCAACCCAACACCACCAGCCAGCAGGGCCTGGGGCCATCCCAAGGCCCTACAGGACAGGAGAGCAGCAGCTCCGACACCACCAACCAGGCACCATCGGGAACAGACCACAGCTCCCAGGTGCCTGAGCTGCTCTCCGGGCAGACACGGCGGGCCAGGACTCGGAGCCGCTCGCCTCTGGAACATCGGGCTGCAGAGACCAACAGCCAGCCCCAAAGACGCCGCAGGAGCCGGTCCAGGTGGCGACGGCCAGCCTGGGGCCGAAGCCGCTCCTGGGTTCCACGTCGGGCCCGGAACATCAACCGCCGGCCCCACTGATGCCATCGGAGCGGCCGTGTGCCAGCTCCAATTGCTGTATAAAGTCATCAAAGTCCATCAATAAAAGTGACAGTTCCATCATGCCACTGTCAGTTTGGTTCTTCTCTGCCTTTCCCGAGGTGGGAACGTTTCCAACGCACAACGTGGCGGAGGCCAGGCTGGCAGCTGCAGCCCATTCTGGGGATGTTTCTGTCATCGTGGGGACGTTGCTGCATTTGGCAGCCCCACGGCTGCTGCCAGCTGTGGGTGGGCTAGGACCCGGGCTTTCCTCCTGCATTCAGGCAGTGCCTCAGGTCTGAGGGCTGCTGCTGCTCTGGGGATGCTGCCAGGCTTGGGGTGACGCAGCCCATCGAGCGCGTGAGCCACTCTTCTCTGTCCCAAAGTCCGGCGTCACGCCTCCTGTGCGAGCAATACCAGTGCTGCCGCTGCTCCTAAGCGGGATGGCCACTCTCTACTTACTCGCTCCAGCTGCCCAGAGCTGGCCAAACATTTGGCTCAGAGTTTGACCTTTGAACTTTGCAGAGATAAAACTTTCAGATGACGTGAAGGCTTCATAAATGAAGCCTTTATCATTTATGACCTGACTGCTGCTTAGCTCAGGCCTAGGCTGTTGCTGTGCAAGCTTCCTTTTAGATCTCATGGGTGTCCTGAAGTTCTTTCCTGAAGTTCTCACAGTCTGATGTGTGTAACACTGAGTGCAGAATTCAGGTACCATTGCAGTCTATCTGGCAACTCTTCAGAGCTACCTTTAAATCCTGCACATCTTTTTCTAACAAGTTATCTGCAACTCTCTGTTTCAGATCAGTTGACAGAGGGCCGGCTCGGTCCCTCTACTCTGGTTCTGGACCACACGAATGGCTTTGAGGGGCTCCTGCTGGTTGATGATGACTTACTTGGGGTGAATGTGATGCTGGCTGTTGCAGGAAACGGGCTTGTGAGACTAAAAGCTCTCGGTTTGTTTGTCATGGCAGGTCCCTTTCACTGCCTTTGTAGTGTGTTGTTAAATGGAATGTACTCAAAAAGCTGGAGGAAATTATCTCTCCTGGGAAAAGGTTTAGCACTGTAAAGACCTTCCACACAGATCCACTCAGTTTTCTCGTCTTGAGGTTGGCTGTGTGTAATCTACGTGTTTCCTCATTGCTCAGCAGGTTACTGATCCCTCTTTCTTCCTTCTCCCCTTTAAGTTCCTTGTTAGCTCCAGTCTCTGCTGGCTCCACTGGACAGTGAGCAATGGCCAACCTGAGTACAAATTGTTCCCAGGCCCAAAACTACAGCCTGAGACAAGTCAGCTGGAATGAAAAACTGTCAGATGCTGCCATCGTCTTTCAGAGAAGAGTGGACTAAGACCTTCTGTTTCTTTCCTTCTATTTCCTTCTATTTCTATCAGTGTCAAGTGGATGAGGCCATAAGTGCCACCTGCCTTTAAAATGTCCTAGTAATCACACACCTTGTAAGGATTTGGGTTGCCCTTGGAGCTGAGCAGGGCTCTTCATACTGTGCTGAGTCCAATGCCTTTCCATGCCATTCTATGCAGATGATAATTCGGCTGTGATTCCCAGGGTAGTTGCTGAGCAGCACTGTGGTGTTTGCACATCTGCCAGGTTACAGGTGTTTAGAAGTAGGAATGACTGTGATGTCTGTGTTGGCAGGTCGCTGAGAGGGGAGTGCAGACACATCAATTGCCTGCTGGACCACAAAACCGTGGCACTGGTGGAGTTAGCACGGGCAGTTGCTTTCCAGTTGTTACTGTCCAGTAGCAAACAGTGTGTCCTTGTTTTAGTGGTGGAAGGTCTCCAGGTTCAAATTCTGAAGCTGCTGCTGAACAACAAGGACAGAGGAGGGGTAAGCACTCTGTAGATGTTTTGCTACATTGTGTCTGCATCCCAGGACTTGTAGGGTACAGAAGTGCAGGTGAGGAGACATTCTGTCCTCAGAAACAGTTCACTAATTGATCTAGTAAGGCAGGCAGAACTGCAGAAACATGTTTTGGGCTCCGTTCCTTTGCCAGTATTGACTTATGACATGAGCTGCACCTGGGCCAGCCTTGTGTTTCTGTTGAACTAGGCAGACACAGTCTGACTGCAGTGCACTCTACTCTAACAATTAATATTAATTCCAGAGAGAAAAGAAATGGCAGGCGTGTGAGCGTGTGCCTCTACAGAGCAGGTGGAGGATGTTCAGCTGCATAAAGCTGTGCATCTTCTGGCCGTCATCAGAGCATCCCAGTATGGGCCTCAGAAGACACAACACTGCAAAACAGTGGCCCACAGCCTGCTCATGGGTGCTCCAGCAATGGTGGTAGCTGGGTCAACTGCTTTCTCTTGCTGAACATACTTCCCAAGCATATACAGCTCTGCTAATGCCTTTCTCTGGGAGTTCCTTTCCCTGTGAGTTCACCACCTGCTTTTCCTCCTGCCAGGGGGAAGCATCCAGATACATCTTCCTGAACAAATTCCGCAAGTTTCTTCAGGAAAATGCTAGCAATAGAGGGGTAAGTCAGAGGGACAGCCTTCCCACAGGCCTCACCTGAAGAGCTCTCTGGTACCTTTGGGGTGGGAGCTCTTGCCCTTTTGGCTGAGCTGCTTCCAGCAGATGAGCAATTGATACCTAGAAAGAGCATCCTCTTCACCACCTGGGTGAGGACCGCTCTTCTGGCCTTGGCTCAGGCTGATGGCCTGCAGCTAAGGAAGGTGGGGATATTATCATTATTGCAGGAAGCCCTTTCCTCACCAGCCTCTCTGCGTTAACGAGCAGCCCACCTTCAGAGGCAGAGCACGTGGTATCCATCCTCCCCTGTCACACCAGCTTGTTACTGCAGGGCCAGGGGTTTTACAGAGGTGGAAGCAGCTAGGTGCCATCAGCGCTGGGCTCCATCCCGGCGCTGGAAACCAGAGGTGCTTTTTGCAAACGGGTGCATGTGCTTTCAGCAGGACTGAGAACAGGAAGCTTCTGCCTGGCCCATTTGGCCACCAGAACTAAGAAGCACCTTCACAGCTGCCCTGATGGCTGAACTCTCATTGTTGCCCTAGAACTTGACTGTGTTGTGCCCACCAGAGTACATGGTGTGCTTCCTGCACCGGCTCATTGCTGCCCTGCGTTTCTTCTGGGATGGCCACAAGGCAAAGGCACCTGCTGCGCTGAGCAGCGAAGGTAAGGCCTGGAGGAGAAGCTAGCAGGACACTTCTGTGTTTGGGACAGGGTTTGTTTCCTGGCACTGCTCTTCAGGATGCTGAAAGCTTTGTGTTTCTCATGGGTGCTGATGCCTTCTCTGCCATGAGCCTGTAGATCCTAGGAAATTCCTATGTGCAGATCTAATCCCATTAACACCCAGACCTATTCTGGATGATTCCTCTGAGACTTGCAAAAGAATATCTATATTGTGATCTGATAGTTAAAGTACAGGGAAACATATTTGCAGTTTTGCAAGTGAGAACAGACCACATAATTCAAGACCCATGTTTCTAACAGATGCCACTAGAATATATGGTATTTCTGCTGTTCCAAACGCTCGCCGTGGCCTCGGCTGGCGCTGCTCTGCTTTACGGGCACAAACGGGACTGCAGCTCAGGCACCGCCCACACGCGCGGGACACCCGGAAGTGACCGCCACCAGCCGGGGAGGAGCCGCAAGGCCCACGCTCTCGCGAGATCGTGCCACCCAATCCGCTGCCGCGAGGTTTCGTTCATTCCCTTCTTCCGTCCCTCCCAGTGCCGCGCCGCGGTGCCGTCGCAAGGGGGCGCAGTCGGTTCTGGTCGCACGGGTTATGACGTCACCGCGCCGGAAGCGCCGCGAGACAGGGACGCGGGGAGCGGGGGTGGGAGGCGGGAGGAGCGCTTTATTGGGCCGCCAGAGCGGGGCCGGCGGAGGCTTTGTGGCGTGCAGTCGCCTACACGGCTGTGCTCCGGGACTTGCTCTGTATCAGCTCAAGGGCGAACTTGAAGGCGTTGCCCGTGGCGTTGAAGATGCTGGCCGCCAGCTCGTGCTTCTTGTTGCTGTTGATCTCCAGCCGCAGCGCCTCCATCTCTCGCTCGATCAGCGCCGCCCGCTCGCTGAAGCCGTGCTGCAGCAGCTCGCTGTGCTCCCGTAGCTTCGCTTCCAGCGCCCGGTCCAGCTCCCGCTGCGCGCTCTCCGCCTCCGCCTGCATCTTGGCCTCGAGGGCTCGCAGGTTCTGCTCGTAGCTGCTGCGCTCGTCCGCCAGCAGCGCCTCCAGCTGCCGTTCGCGCTCCGCCGTAGCCTTCTGCTGCTGCTCCAGGAGCTGCGTCTGCTGCTTTTGGTCTGGGAACAAAGGGACGGGGTGAGGAGTAAACAGGAGCTGAGCCTGGTGCTTCTGGTCAGGGAACCGAGTGGGGGTCCCCGTGGCACGGGGAGATGGGCCAAAGCCACAGTGCAAGGGCACGTGGGGAGGGGATGTAGGGGCTGGGGAGAGAGTGTGGGGATGTGGGGATGGGGTGAGGGTTCGTCAGGGAGGAAAAAGGGGCAATTTGAGGTGTCTCCTGGGTGCACCGGGATGCCCCAAGAGATGTGTGTACTCTGGGAGATGTCCCTGGGGAGAAGGGGAGTCCTCGTGTGCTGGGGCCATCATGAGATGCCTGTGAAGGGTTATAAGGATTCCCTAAATGCATGGTGATGCCATGCGCTGTCCTTGGGGGACACGGCCCACGGAACAAGGGAACGCTGTGAGATGTCCCCAAGGAATAACGCAATGCATCCGTTGTTCCTGGAGGACCCGGGGATGGGTGAGGGGGGAAGGAGAGAAGGGACGGCACTGGGATGCGCCACTCACCCTCCAGCTGCTTCTCGGCCTCGCTCAGTGCCTTGTCTGCCTTCAGCACTGCCTCCGCTTCTGCCCGGCGCTCCGCCAGGAACTCATCCAGCACCTCCTCGGCCTGTGCATCCCCACACGATTGAGGCACGGCCTCAAATCCTTGTTCCCGATCCCCTGCCTAGAGCTGCCCTCACCTTGGGGCCCTTGCCCTTTGCTTGCCGGTAGGCCTCCAGCAGCCGCTGCCGCTCGGCCTCGTAGGCGCGGTAGCCACCGGGCTGTGCGTAGGCCCCACGGGACAGGCTGGTATCCAGTGCCCCCGCCAGCTCAGCCAGCAGCGCCTTGCAGAGCTGCCGTGATGCTGCATTGTTCTCCTCCTGCAGGCGGCTGTACTCCGTGCTGATCTGTTCCTGAGGGACAGGATGGGGGCAGGGTCACGGTGTCAACGGGGAGAGTGCAGGTGGGAGCACAGGTACGGAGGCAGTGTTGGGGGGACGTGAGGATAAGGTAATGGAGATGGAGCGCCTTGAGGGGATGGGGACAAGGTCGTGAAGACAAGGGCAGCCTGGTAGGAATAGGAGCAGGGTGGCGAGGACAGGGACGGCGCTGTGGCACAAGGGGGGTGGCCACGCACCATGAGGCGCCGCTGGTGCTCCTGGTCGCGATCCCGGAAGCTGCGCTGTTGGAAGATGACGAGCGCCTCGTGCAGGTGCTCCCCGTGCGCAGCTGAGAGCCGTGCGGGCTCTGTGGGCAGTGACAGCCCCCGCATGCCCCCGGCATAGGCCTCCAGCGCTGCCGCCACCGCAGCTGCGTTCTCGTTGGCTATCATGGCTGCTGCTGCTCCCTGCAGGCAGGGCAGACGCCCGCTGTTGATGGCCTCCACGTAGCTGCTCAGCAGCGTGCTCAGGGCTGTGGGGAATGGCACAGGGACACCTTCCTCATTGTTGGCACCTTGCTGCTGTGTGTTGCTGTTGTCCCCTGTCTTCCCTGTGTTTTTTGCCCCATTGTTACCCTGTCATCGCCCAGTCATTGACTTGTGTCGCACTGTGTTGCCACTGTATCCCTTTTGTCCTCTTGTCATCACTCTGCTGTCCCCAGTGTTTTCACTCCATTGTCTCATGTTGCCGTTGTCATTGTCCCCCTGTTGTCCTGTGTCACCACTGTCACCCCGTTTTCAGCCTGTTGTCCCATGGCACCCTTGCCTTCATCCCAGTTGTCCCGTTGCTTTTGCTGTTGTACCCCCATCATCCGATTTGCCATCATCACTGTCCTCCCATGGACCTCATTATCATCAGCCTGCAGTCAGCACGCTGTCACCCTGTTGTCCTGCCTCGCTGTCACCCTGTTGTCCTTTGTGTCACCGTGCCCCCAGCTCTCCCCGCTCCCACCCCCTCCTTACCTCGCCCTGTCAGTGCTCTGCCGTCAGGCAGCGTCTTGAGCCTGGAGGAGCTCAGCACATAGTCGCAGAACTTGGCTGCCTGTTGGAGGAAGCGTGGGGCCAAGGCGGCCTCGGGCAGCTCCTCCATGCGCCCGTGCTCCTCTGTGCCCAGTGGCGAAGGCAGCACGAAGCACTTCCGCGTGGGGAAATAGTTGTGGAGGCACTGCCGCGTCGCATTGTACTGCTGCACCTTGCGGCCGTACCCTGTGGCAGGCAGGCAGCTGTTGGTGCTGGCGCAGCCGCTCGTTAGGGCCTCCCTAATGACCCCAAGGGGGCCAGCACTCACCGTGCTTGAGTTCCAGCGCTTGCTTCAGGTACTCGTCCTCGCTGATGGGCCGCTCGTCCACACGCAGCTCCAGTGTGAAGTCCCGCACCACCCACACAAAGCTGGGGAAGAAGCGCATGAACTCGTGGTCCTCGGCCTCATCTTCTCTTTCAGCGCCGTTGTTGCCATCCTTGTCCCTGTCGCGCACCTGGATCAGCTCTGACAGCTGTGTCACCAGCCTGCCCCGCTCAGGAGCACAACGCTCCCCAAATTCTGTGTCCCCTCCAGAATCTTGTGTACCCCCCAAATATTTCTGTCCTCCTCTGTACGTTGTGTCCTGCCCCACGGTGCCCATCTACGGCCTGAGTATTGCACTCCCTCTTAGAGCCTGAATCACCCTTAAATCCCTCAGTTTCCCCTTAAGTCCTCTGCCCCCTTGCCGAGTTCCCCCGGTTTTTCCCCAAATCCCAGTCTGACTTTGCCAACATCCCCCAGTCTTGCCACAAGTCCCACGCTGCCCACGTCACACAGGTTTTCCCCAGGGTTCCTGTAGCCTCAAACAGGCAGTTTCACCCCAAATCCCCCACCCTAGCCCTATCTCCCATTGCCCCAGTCCCACAGCTACAGCCCGTGTCCCGCGTTGTCCAAGTCCCCCGTAGCCCCAAGTCCCCAACTTTCACCCCAGCCTCCCGCATCCACTCAGCTCCCTGCAGGATACTCGAGGTACTCCAGTGCCTTCTGGTCGATGGTGCCTATGCTGTTGTACACCAGGGTGCTGGACAACAGCAGCGCCAGTGTGAAGATCCAGGCGTCGTTTTGGCTATCACCCTGTGCCCACAGCTGGGTTAGGGGTGTTCTGGACTCCGGGGAGAGATGTGGGGCCAGCCTTCCCCCCAGCACCCACCTTGGTGGGGTCTCCCAGCCCCTCGGTGTCCAGCAGCACCAGCATCACTCCGGGCCGCTGTGGGTGAGGCAGGCACCACATCCAGATGCCCTTGGTCTCTGCCTGCACCGTGGGGCCCAGCGGGAAGCCTGCAGGTGGCGAGCCGTCAGGAATCCCCAGCATACCCCGAAACGCCCCGCAGTGAACGAATGCATGGGGTTCTGCCCCCAACTCACCAGTGCGCTTCTGTGCCAGCCGGTTCATCAGGAAGGACTTCCCGGTGCGGTAGGGCCCGGCGATGGCCACCACCACCAGGGGCTGGGCCACCTCCTGCAGCACTGCCAGCGCCGTGGGGTCCAGGGACAGCTCGCCATTCTTGTTGTTCACCAGGCACAGCGGGGCCGGCATCGGGAGCACCGCAGCATCCATGGTTGTGCTGCTGTGTGCGGCTTTGCAGTGCTCAAACGGAAAGAGAAAGCAAACCCAGCCCTCCCCCTGCTGTTGGTTTTCCCTTCCTGTAAACACCCCTCGCTTCCCCGAAATCACAATGCCTCAGCTGTGGCCTGCATTCTTGTAGGGGCAGCTGGCACAGGCACAGCATATCGCAACCGGTTGGAGGCAACACCCATCCTGTTATCCAGACTGAAGGACTTCCTCTATGGTGCAGCCCGGCGATGGACGCGTCCACCGAAGGGCTGGTGGTACAGCACTGCACATCAGCACTGTGTTTGTGTAGGGGGGGGTTGACAGACAGCATGCTGCTGTAGCAAACCAGGCAGAGGGGGGCCGGCGTCAGGGGCACCAGAGCCTGCTTGGCCATGCAGCTGCCAGAACCGAAAGGGAAAGCACACCCAGCTGCTATGGATGCATTTCCTGCTGCTGCTTCCTTTGCTTTACCTAACAGGGCCCAGTGCTGTCCCAAAATGGCAACACCTGGAAAGCGTCACAGAATTTATTGCATGGACAGCTGGCAGGGCACAGGGCTACACATGGCTGTCCTCATCGCTGTCCTCATCACTGTCCTCATTGCTGACCTCCTCTTTGCTGTCACTGTCTGACAGCACGAGCTGAAGAGATGCGAGCAGATTACTCAGGAAGTTCACACCCGTGCGGCGCCATGAGGAGATCTCCGTTTCCCTCTTCTCCTTCTGCATCTGCTCCATCATCTGCTGCATTGCCATCTGCATGCATTTGAAACCTTCGTTTATCAGTGCCTTGCACTGCTGTGGGATAGGGAGTGGGGTTGCTGCCGCCACACGGTGCCGCGGTGCAGCCACAATGCAGCAGCACCACCACCGAGCAGCTCAATGCAGACACGGTGTGCTGGGACCACCACAAAGCAAGTCCATGGTACGTGTGCAACGTGCCAGCATCACCACACACCTTCCTGGCACAGCCATACAGGCCCATGGGGGAGCTACAGTGTGCTGGTGCCACCACCACACAGCGTCACAAAACTATGGAATAGACATTACATAGCCAGCAATGCCATCTAACACCATCACGGTGACCACCTTCACAGCCACAGTGTGCCAGTACCATCTCACATCAGCACCATGCGACAGCCACAGTGTGACACTAACAGCGCACAACACCACTTTCCCATTACACAATAATCATGGTGCAGCCACAGTGCCTCTGTACCACCACACAACACCTCCACAGTACCACCATTGTGCTCCAGCGCCACAAACTTGTACCTCCAGTGCTGCAGCCAAAATGCACCTGTACCACCACACAGTCACACACCACCATGATACAGCCAGAGTGTGCCTGCACCACTGCACAACAGCATCACTGCCCACCCTCTGCTGCTGTTTGTATGGAGGGAGCTGGTTGATGCAGTTGCTGAACCTCTCTCCATCATCATTGAAATGTCCGGGCTGTCAGGAGATGGAGACTGGAAAAAGGCAAACGTAGCTGCCATGTATAAGAAAGGGGGGAAGGAGAACCCAGGGAAATTCAGGCTGACAAGCCTGATCTGTGTGCCTGGGAAGGTCGTGGAGCAGATCCTCCTGGATGACACGCTAAGGCTCATGAGTGACGACCAGGTGACCCCAGGCAGCCGGCACGGCTTTGCCGAGGGCAGATGGTGCCTGACCTGCCTGGTGGCCTTCTGTGATGGAGTGACGAGGGACAATGGAAGGGCGACTGATGTCAGCTACCTGAAGCTGTGCAAGGCCTTTGACGTGGTCCTGTACCGCATCCCTATTTGTAAAACGGAGAGATGAGTTCAGAAAGTAGACTCTTTGGTGGATAAGAATTGGTTGGATGTTCACAGCCAGGTGGTTGTGCTCAGTGGCTCCATGTCCAGGTGGAGGCTGGGCTCGAGCCGTTTCCCCAGGGGACCTTCTTGGGGCCGCTGCTCTTCAGCATCTTGGTCAGTGTCGTAGCGGGATTGAGTTGGCTGACAACACCACGCTGAGTGGTGTCGTTGACACAAGAGGAAGAAGGGACGCCATCCACAGGGACCAGGACAGGCTTTGGAGGTAAGCCCACGTGAACCTAAGGAGGTTCAGCAAGGCCCAGTGCAAGGTGCTGCACTTGGGTTGGGGCAATCCCAGATAGATGTGCAGGCTGGGAGAACTCCATGAGTGCCGCCCTGAGGTAAGGAGTTGGGTGTCCTGCTGGACAGAAGCTGGACACGAGGCAGCAGTGTGCGCTTGCAGCCCAGAAAGGCCAACTGCATCTTGGGCAGCACCAGCAGAGTGGTCAGCAGGCAGGGAGGGGATCGTCGCTCTCTGCTCTGCTCATGAAGATCTTGAACCCCACCACATGAATGATGTGAAGTTTTTGCAGCAGGCCCAGGGGAGGGCCAGAAAGACACTCAGAGGGCTGAAGCACCTCTTCCTCTGCAAACACAGGCTGAGAGAGCACGGGTGTTCAGAATGGGGAGGAGAAGGAGAAGGCTCTGAGGTGACCTCGCTGAGGCCTTTCATTACTGAGGGGCTTATAAGCAGGATGGAGAGTGATTTTTTACACGGTCTGATAGCGATTGGGTAGGGAAGAAAGGTCTAAAACTAAAAGAGGGCAGATTTAGGTGAGTTATGAGGAGGAGGTTTTTCACTCAGAGGGCTGTGAGGCGCTGGCACCGCTGCCCAAAGCTGTGGGTGCCCCATCCCTGGAGGTGGGCAAGGCCATGGAGGGGCCTTGGGCAACCAGCCTGCAGCTGAGAGCTTGGAAGCAGAGGGTCACTGACACCCCTTCCAACCCAAGCCAGGCTAGACTTTGTGATTCCATGATTCTGTGATCCTATGATTCTGTGTGATGCCTGTGGTGGCCACCGCTCTGGAACTTAAAATGGAAGGACAGCCAGCCCCCATAGTCCACCCTCTGCCTCTGCTGCCTTTGCCTTCCTGGAATTACGCCCCATGCTTCCCTGAAATGACAAGACCCTGGGCAGTGCAACTGGATTTATTGCAGGGACAGCTGCTGGGGGACGGTCCACATCACATGCGCCGCAGTTTATTCAAAAGTTTTCCTGCCACACCAGGCAGGAATGGAGCCAAAACGTTGCTGAGAACGTTCAGAGCTGAGCTAATCCAGGTGTCCCGCTCCCTGTTCTTCTTCTCCTTCTGCAGCTGTGTGATCAGCTCCTGCATGGCTGCTGCCTCACGCTTGAAGCCCTCCCGCACCAGTGCTTCATACTCCTGTGGACAGGGAACAGTGTCAGTAGCAGCATACAATGCCACAGCACAGCCCAGTGTGCTGCTACGAGCACAGAACACATCGGTGGTACGCTCGCAGCACCATCACAGCGCTCACCTTCTTGTGGTGCTCCAACACGCGCTGCTGCTCTTCCAGCCACGCACGCTGCTGCTCCTTCAACTGTTGCTCCAGCTGACCTTTGTGCTCCTCCATGGTGCGCCGCTGCTCCTCCAGCCGTGCCTCTGCCGCCTTCCGGGCCGCCTCTGCCTCGGCCGCTGCTGCCTCCCGCTGCCGCTCCACCAGCTCCAGCTGCACCTCAGTGGCCTTCAACATCTGTGCCAGCCCCTCACGCTCCCGCAGGAACACCTCCAGCACCGCCTCCGCCTGACCGCACAACCATGCAGCACAGTTCCATCACACCTGGTGCCACCCCACCGCCCTCCCCCACACCCCACTCACCCTGACACCCTTGTCGGGCCGTTGCTTGTACTCCTCCAGCACACGGTTCAGGTCCTCCTTGAACAGCTGTGCACCACCAGGTGCCACGTAGTCCCCATTCTGCAGGCGCAGCTCCACATCCCTCCAAAGCTCCTGCAGCACCGCATGGCACCGCTGCTCCGACGCCTCCTCGTTGCGCCGGCAGAACTCGTCCTTGGCCGCCTCCAGCTTGCACTGCGCCACAGATCAGTGCTCAAGTGCACGGCCGTGCCTCCAAAACCCCACGGTGTGACAGCAACTCACCACCAGCTCCGCATGGTACTGGCGTTCATGGTCGGCAAAGGCACGGGACAGGAAGAGGGCGATGGCACGTTGCTCGCAGTCCCGATGCACGGCCACCAGAGCACTGCGTGAGGCCGTGGGCAGCACCAGGCCCTGCTCCATGCCCCGCTGGTACTCGGCCACCGCCGCCTCCACTGCTGCACTGTTCTCAGCCCGTGCCAGCGCTGTCACTGCGCTCTCCACGCAGGGCACCGCGCCGCTGGTGATGGCCGCCACGTATTTCTCCGCCAGGCCTGCCAGCGCTGTGAGAGGTGACGGCCCCCCGCATGCGTCACCGCCACACACGTGTCCCCGTCACCAGCACGCGTCCCCCGCACGCCACCCGTTCTCACGCTGCTGCCACTCACCGCTGCCCGTCACCTGGTGCCCACCCGGCAACACCTTCACCGGCGCCTCCTCCCAGATGTACCGGCAGAAGGCGTCCACCTGCTTGCGGAAGCCTGGCTGCAGCTCGTCCTCCCGCAGCTCCTCCAACCGCTGCAGATCCGCGTCAGCTGCCGGCCGCTCCATCGTGAACAGCTTGCGGCGGGGAAAGAAGTTGCGCAGGCAGCGCCGCAGCTCATTGCGCTCCTTGGCCTTCTTCCCGTCCCCTGCATTGCCACTCTTAGCACAGAGCCACCGACTGCGGATACGCACCGTGACGCCCGGGGACACACGCTGGTGGCCATACCGGTCTGCAGTCGCAGCATGTCCTCCAGGTACTCATCCTCACTCAGGACCTTTTCACCAGTCCGCAGCTGCAGTGTGAAGTCACGCACGGTCCAGACGAAGCACGGGAAGACGCGGACAAAGTTGGATGTTGGGTTGTCGTTCTCCTCCTGCACGCGGATGTGCTCCGTCAGCTCTGTTACCAGCCTGTGGGACCCACGTCACCCCGTCAGCGTTGTCACTGCAGAGCCTTTGTCACACCGTCACCTCCCTCCCGGCCATCCTCGTACTGCAGCTGCTCGAGTGCCCGCTGGTCAATGGTGCCAATGCTGTTGTACACCAGGGTGCTGGAGAGCAGCACCGCCAGCGTGAAGATCCAGGCGTCGCTGTCATCGTCATCCTGCACATATATCCAAGTTACTGGGGCTCCACTTCCACGGAGTTTTTGGGATCCCATCACCCCTGCACTCACCTTTTTGGGGTCTCCCAACCCCTCCGTGTCCAGCAGCACCAAGGTCACTCCCTGCCGGCGCGGGTGGGGCAGGCACCACATCCAGATGCCCTTGGTCTCCGCATGCACCGTGGGGCCCAGCGGGAAGCCTGTGGGCAGTGAGCTGTCAGAAATCCCACAAGATGCCCCTGCAAACGCATGGGGTTTCCCCCTCTGCTCACCAGTGCGTTTCTGTGCCAGCTGATTCATCAGGAAGGACTTCCCAGTGCGGTACAGCCCGGCGATGGCCACCACCACCAGGGGCTGGGTGACACTGCGCAGCACTGCCAGCGCCGTGCGGTCGAGGGACAGCACGCTGTCCTTGTTGGTCACCAGGCAGAGGGGAGCCGGCATTGGGAGCATCGGAGCGTCCATGGTTGTGCTGCTGCCTGCTGTGATCACAGACTGGAAACTGCAATATATAGTGAAGCCAGGTCCCGCTCCTCCCCACCCTCCACATCCTGTTATTCTTTGATTTTCCCTTTTTTCTCTTCCTTTCCTGGAATATTAATTCCCGGAATACTGCTTAATTCACTGAAGTCACATGACCTGTACCATATCAGTGGATTCACTGCAGGGACTGCTGGTGGGGATAAGAGCTCCAGCATGCTGCAGCACTTTGCTGACAGTGCCTGACGCCTAGCTGGCCACTAAGGGCAGGGACAGCACAACCACGGTGCCCATGACACCACCCATGGCTGCTGGATGCAGCGCTTCTCCTCCTGCAGCCACTTCATCTACAGCTGCAGTACCATTGCCTCATGTCTGAAGCAGTCCAGCACCAGTGCCTCATGTCCTGTGGGACATGGAGCTGTGCTGCTACTGCCTCACAATGCCAAGGTGCATCCACAACGCCCCGACAGCACAGCACAGTACCTCTATGGTACAGACACAGTGTGCCAGCACCACAACACTGAACCTCCAGTGCTGCAGCCAAAATGCACCTGTACCACCACGCAATCACACAACACCACGGTACAGCCAGAGTGTGCCTGCACCACTGCACAGCAGCCTCACTGTGCTGGCCATGCAGGGCCCAGCCCCTGCTGCTGTTTGTACGGAGTGAGCTGGCTGATGCAGTTGCTGAGCAGCCTGGCTGTCAGATGTCCCCAGAGACTGGAAAAAGGCAAACATAGCTGCCATTTGTAAGAAAGGCAGGAAGGAGGACTTGGGAACTGCAGGCTGGCAAGCCTCAGCTCTGTGCCTGGGAAGATCGTGGAGCAGAAAGCACTGGAAGACCTGTCAGCTGTCCAGGAGCTCTTGCATAGTACAAGAATTGCCAGCTGCCTTCCTGTGTGAATGCTGAGACCTGCAATTATCTGCTACCCTTGAGGTGGGAGCTCTCGCCCTATTGGCTGAGTTGCTTGCAGCAGGTGAACAACTGATACCTAAATATAGGAGCCTGTTGGAAGGAGCAAAGAGATTTGAGGGTGCTAGCCAGGGAACTTACCCGCGTCCCGTGCAGTGACTGCAGGGGAAAGCAATTCCTGGGAGCAGCCTTGGGTGTGAGTCAAATATCGTGCTGAAATCTCTCAAGTGTGGCTGTGGCATGCTCAGTTTGCCTGCTGGTTTTGGCATTCACTGCCTGGGTGAGGACCGCTCTTCTGGCCTTGGCTCAGGCTGATGGCCTGCAGCTAAGGAAGGTGGGGATATTATCATTATTGCAGGAAGCCCTTTCCTCACCAGCCTCTCTGCGTTAACGAGCAGCCCACCTTCAGAGGCAGAGCACGTGGTATCCATCCTCCCCTGTCACACCAGCTTGTTACTGCAGGGCCAGGGGTTTTACAGAGGTGGAAGCAGCTAGGTGCCATCAGCGCTGGGCTCCATCCCGGCGCTGGAAACCAGAGGTGCTTTTTGCAAACGGGTGCATGTGCTTTCAGCAGGACTGAGAACAGGAAGCTTCTGCCTGGCCCACGTGGCCACCAGAACTAAGAAGCACCTTCACAGCTGCCCTGATGGCTGAACTCTCATTGTTGCCCTAGCCCTTGACTGTGTTGTGCCCACCAGAGCACATGCTATCTTGAACTTCAAGAGGGCGGACTCTGACCTGCTCAGGACGCTTGTAGCACGGGTCCCTTGGGAGTCGCTCCTTAAGGGTAAAGGGCTCCAGGACGCCTGGACGCTCCTCAAGGTGGAAATCTTAAAGGCGCAGAAACAGGCTGTGCCTGAATACCGTAAGGCGAGCCGTAGGGGGAGAAGACCGCTGTGGATGAGCCGGGAATTACTGTCAAGACTCAGGAAGAAAAAGACAGTCTTTGTCCTCTGGAAGAAGGGAGAGGCTACTAGGGGAGATTACAAGGAAGTTGCTAAGGTATGCAGGGAGGAAGTCCGGAAGGCGAAAGCCCATCTTGAACTTAGATTGGCCACTGCAGTAAAGCAGAATAAGAAATCCTTTTACAAATATATCAATGGCAAGAGAAAAACCAAGGATAATCTCTATCCTTTATTTGACGCGGCGGGGAATGTGACCACAGATGACAAGGAGAAGGCTGAGGTCCTCAACGCCTTCTTTACATCTGCCTTTAATAGTCAGACTAGCTGTCTTCAGGGCACTTTGTGCCCTGATCTGGATATCGGGGCTGACACGCAGCATGTCTCCCCGGAGATCGAGGTGGAGACAGTTAGAGACCTCCTCCTCCATCTGGACAGTCACAAGTCAATGGGACCGGATGGGCTTCATCCTAGGGTGCTGAGGGGTTGGCGGGGGTGATTGCTAAGCCGCTCTCAGCTATCTACCAGCGCTCCTGGTTGGCTGGAGAGGTTCCAGAGGATTGGAGGCTTGCTGATGTGACGCCCATCTACAAGAAGGGCCGTAAGGAGGATCCGGGGAACCACAGGCCTGTCAGCCTGACATCAGTACCAGGGAAGGTCATGGAACAAATCCTCCTGGGAGAGATCACACGGCTCGTGCGCAACGTCCACGGGATCAGGCCCGGCCAGCATGGGTTCATGAAAGGCAGGTCGTGTTTGACCAACCTCATCTCCTTCTAAGACTGGGTAACCAGACTGGTAGATGAGGGAAAGGCAGTTGGTGTAGTCTACCTAGACTTCAGCAAAACCTTTGACACGGTCTCTCACAGTATCCTTCTGCGGAAACTGGCTGCCGTGGCTTGGACAGTTTTACCCTCCGTTGGATAAGGAACTGGCTGGAGAGCCGTGCTCAACGGGTGGTGGTCAATGGAGTGAAGTCTAGCTGGAAACCTGTTACAAGTGGTGTCCCCCAGGGGTCGGTACTGGGGCCCAACCTGTTTAATATCTTCATTGATGACATAGATGAAGGGATTGAGTGCACCCTGAGTAAGTTTGCAGATGACACCAAGTTGGGATGTGGTGTCGATCTGCCTGAGGGCAGGGAGGCCCTGCAGAGGGATCTAGATAAGCTGGATCGCTGGGCTGAGGTGAATGGGATGGGGTTGACCTTTAACAAGGCCAAGTGTCGGGTTCTGCACTTTGGCCACAACAACCCCATGCAGCGTTACAGGCTTGGGGATGAGTGGTTGGATGATTGTGAAGAGGAAAGGGACCTGGGGGTGCTGGTTTATGCTCAGCTGAACGTGAGCCGACAGTGTGCCCAGGTGGCCAAGAGGGCCAACGGCATCCTGGCCTGCATTAGAAATGATGTGGCCAATAGGAGCAGAGAGGAGATCGTCCCCCTCTACTCAGCACTGGTGAGGCCGCACCTCGAGCATTGCGTTCAGTTTTGGGCCCCTCACTACAGGAAAGACATTGAGGCCCTGGAACGTGTCCAGAGAAGGGCAACGAAACAGGTTAGGGGTCCGGAGCACAAACCTTATGAGGAGCGGCTGAGGGAGCTGGGATTGTTCAGTCTGGAGAAGAGGAGGCTCAGGGGAGACCTCACTGCACTGTACAACTTCCAGAAGGGAGGTTGTGGTGCAAAAGGGTCTGGCCTCTTCTCCCAGGCAAATAGTAGGACCCGAGGAAACGTCCAGAAGTTATACCAGAGGAGGTTTAGGTTGGATATTAGGAGAAACTTTTTCTCTCAAAGTGTGGTCAGGCACTGGAATGGCTGCCCAGGGAAGTGGTGGAGTCACCGTCCCTGGTAGTGTTCAAGAGGCGCCTGGATGAGGAGCTACGAGAGATGGTTTAGTGCTTGTGGTACTAATAGGAATGGGAGGGTGGTTGGACTGGATGATCTTGCAGGTCGTTTCCAACCTTGTGATTCTGTGATTCTGTGACATGCTGTGCTTCCTGCACCGGCTCATTGCTGCCCTGCGTTTCTTCTGGGATGGCCGCAAGGCAAAGGCACCTGCTGCGCTGAGCAGCAAAGGTAAGGCCTGGAGGAGAAGCTAGCAGGACACTTCTGTGTTTGGGACAGGGTTTGTTTCCTGGCACTGCTCTTCAGGATGCTGAAAGCTTTGTGTTTCTCATGGGTGCTGATGCCTTCTCTGCCATGAGCCTGTAGATCCTAGGAAATTCCTATGTGCAGATCTAATCCCATTAACACCCAGACCTATTCTGGATGATTCCTCTGAGACTTGCAAAAGAATATCTATATTGTGATCTGATAGTTAAAGTACAGGGAAACATATTTGCAGTTTTGCAAGTGAGAACAGACCACATAATTCAAGACCCATGTTTCTAACAGATGCCACTAGAATATATGGTATTTCTGCTGTTCCAAACGCTCGCCGTGGCCTGCGATGGCGCTGCTCTGCTGCCTTGTGCCACGTTGCGCTGTATTACAGGCATAAACTGGACTGCAGCTCAGGTTAGAGCGGGGAGACGAAAGCTGAAGAGTTTTCAGAGAATCCAGCTTTCCCCAGCGACTGGGAGACAGGAAGGGCTTGAAGGCTTGATGCGTGCCGCTTTGGTGTGCATCCAATGCATGCCTTGTTACGGAAGTTACCTCTGCCCCGTTGACTCGCGCTGTTTAAACGACACAACAGTCACCGGATATGGCTTCGGGCTTGGCTCGGGGCTCTATCTCAGGGCTTACCTGCTGGTGCTGGTTTCAAGCCCCAGACCTGGCTACCTGGGCCTCGGCCCCCAAACCAAATCGCTCTTCAAGTCGCCTTTAGCCCAGCGGCGCTCCGATCCGCCCCTGCCCTCACTGCCGCCCACACGCGCGGGACAACCGGAAGTGAGCGCCACCAGCACCAGCGCCGCCGGGGAGGAGCCGCAAGGCCCACGCTCTCGCGAGATCGTGCCACCCAATCCGCTGCCGCGAGGTTTCGTTCATTCCCTTCTTCCGTCCCTCCCAGTGCCGCGCCGCGGTGCCGTCGCAAGGGGGCGCAGTCGGTTCTGGTCGCACGGGTTATGACGTCACCGCGCCGGAAGCGCCGCGAGACAGGGACGCGGGGAGCGGGGGTGGGAGGCGGGAGGAGCGCTTTATTGGGCCGCCAGAGCGGGGCGGGCGGAGGCTTTGTGGCGTGCAGTCGCCTACACGGCTGTGCTCCGGGACTTGCTCTGTATCAGCGCAATGGCGAACTCGCAAGCGGTGCGCACGGTGTTG